CAGTCTAAATATTTACTTACATTCATTTTTTCCTATCCAATTGTGAAGTTTCATATTGTAAAATTTTGATTAAAATGCTCGAATTCATTTAGTTGTCGTATAAAAACGATAACGTCTTTCTTTCGAAATAATGAAACTGAAATTATTTACTATGTACCACGAATGGAAGGATCGCGCTCAGGGACGGGAACAATGGCGGGATTTGCGGCAATGAACTTTCCAGTTCCTAATGCCAGTTAATAATAATAATAATAAAAATATATAAATGAATAAAAAAATGATGTGAAAATATGTAAGTAGAGTATATTTATGATGAATAATACTTTACATACAATTGTCAAGAATCTCAGATTAGAATCATATCTTCCTATATCTCTCTCTTTCTATGAACAATGGCATCTCGACAATGGAGGATTAATAAGGAAAACATCGGAATATCCGTTAATCCAATTAGTCAAAGATGCACAAGACGGGAATCCGTGAAGCCCCACACGTGAACGCGCATCTCACTAGATCCTTCACAAAGGATTCGCCAGAATGATTTAGAGAAACGTTTCTCGTTTCTGAATTATTCGAGTCGAAGTCAGAAGTCGACGCATATAATCGTATAAATACTCGACGTTCAGGAGAGTAAACTCGAATGAGAAACTATTCTTGTACAAGCATGTATGAAAGTAAAAAGTTGAGAATAGATTATAAGAAGAGGAAAAAAAAGAAAAAAAGAAAAATATATGGGAAAGAGTATTTAATTACGAATTTTCTAATTCGCGACTCAACGATTCTTTAATTCGAACTGAAATTCACTTTTCGCGAAATTCACGATTTCACACACGCAAGAAATCTTGCGAATCTTACATTCACTTGATCTATTGTTACATTTAAAGTAAACGTTACGTATAATTGATAATAATCATACTTTTCTTGACATGAATTTAAAGAGTAGACAAAAATTATACGGCAAAAGTAGCAAGAAAAAAAAATATAAATTAAAAATGGAAAAGAAGAAGACAACAATTAAGAATAGAAAAAGAATAGAAGTTCGAGTACTCGTCGACTGGAAAATTAAGTGAGTCGATAAGGAGAGAGAAAGAAAAAGGGAAGAAAAGAAAAAAGAGAAAAGGGTTAAAGACTGGTCAATTAAATTTCCGTTGTTAATTCGGGCAATTAACTCTTAGGAAAGATGGGAGAAAGATAGGCCGGTTAATTAAAGGAGCACCAGCGTGAATTCAAGGAGGTAAAGCGTTAATTAAAAGGTGGATCGACATGTAGAAGTATCGTGTACGACGAAATTCCAAGGGTCATGATTTTAAAGCGTAGGCGTCAGGACGATAACACTTCTGTTAGCTAAGATCATTTTTCACATGTCAACGCTCTTTTAACAAACGTAACTATTCATTTATACCGAAGAAAGAAAATTTCAATTAATATTTCATTCTTGTCTTAAACTCATTCTCTTTGTTTATTTTTTCTTTGTCATTTTTTTTTCTTTTTTTTTTTTTTTTACTTTCCAATATTTTATATCCCTCTTTTGTTTATCGAGTTAAAAATGATTTTTATTCTCCTTTGCGTTTATAAAGTACAAATAATATTCATGAGTGGTATCTTCGTTAACAACAACCGCAACTATTTTTGAAGGCTAACGCAATAATAGGATGTAATTCAAAAACCGGAAGTACGGACTCGGGGAAGCGCGTATTTCATATTCATTATTAGCGTGCAGCTGTTACGTAACGAACGAGTCCGTAGGGCGAAAACTGTACGGTTCTACTGTTACCTATGTATTAGTATGTCTACATACATATACATATATGCATATATGCATGTATAATATGTACATTCGCATACTCGCGTGCATGCATACTTACCTTGCGTACAACGTTACATACCTATATACTTAAATACACACACACACAAACACACATATGTACACGTACATGCATAAATAAATATATACGTAAATACGTGGAACGGGACGCATCTATCGCTTTGTTGTTTGAGCTTACACTCGATTCAATTATTCTCCTTTCGATTTTTTATTATTTTTTTTTTTTTTTAGTTTACTCTTTTTCAACAAAAAGTAATTGAAAATCAATTCCAAATGTCATTTCACGTCGAACTAATATACTTACGTTACTTTTTAATAATTAATTTAAATGAATAAAAAATTCTAAAATCATTCGTATATTTAAACAATCACCTATAGATTTAATTTTGACATTATTCCTACAACATAATTACTCTAACCTATTGTAAAAACATATAATTCTAATGCTTCTAACAAAGAGGAATCAAATTGGACAAACATTATCCTACAAATTTTAATAATACGTTTTACGATAATAAATCCACCATTAGATATCGAATAATACATTTACATGATATTCGATATGAAAATGAAGAAATTCGTTCCATCGGGATCAATAATATTCATAATTATTTTCATTAGAAATGGATGTTCATCGATTTGAAGTTAAAATGAAAAAAAAACAAGGGTGAATGAAGAGTTAGTAGGCGGAATGGAGGGTGAAGGGGTTCATTGCAAATACATTCTCGTCTACAAACGTGACGTTAGGAAATTAACATAAAGTTTGAAGGATCTCGTTTCAATTTTCGATCGAGTCTCGCTTTACTTCCCCTTGAATTTTTATTTCCTTCCAATTCACCCCAGACCCTCTTTCCCCTTCTCCTCTTCCACCTTTTCTTCTACCGCCTCTCCGACCTTCCTCTCACTCCAGTTCTATCGTAACCCTCTTTGATATCGATTCGCGACATCGTTTGAGAAGCAAAATCCCTTGATGAGACAAGTTTCGCAATAAGGGTTGCACCACTGCCGTGTGCTACACATCAACGAACAAGCCTCCTCTTCTATTAAATATGTGGGCTTGTGTCTCAGGACACAATATTACAAGGCATACCGTTGAAATTTACCACCAAGTAAAACCTCTTCTAAGATATACTCGAGTGATCACGTGCTTTCTCTCCACCTCTCTCTCTCTCTTTCTTATTATCACAAAACTCGATCGTTTCCTTCAATCTCAAGCGAATAAACGTTGCGAGGGGTAAATTACAATAATAAACTAACTTAAAAATAGAAAAGAATAAACAATTCGAAGATATTTACGCACACATCGATATTTTATATTAACAATTGTATTTTAAGTTTGATAATTAAAGAAAGTCAAAAATCGATATGATCGGATCAAAATATTCTTCGTATGTAAAAAGAAATAAAAAATGAAATTTTGTACCGACGTTCGTTCCGTTTATTTGAAATCTGTTTGTAACGTGTAAAACGATCGGTAAAATATTTTTCTGATATTTTGTTATTTAATGCCATTTTCTCTCTCTCTCTCTCTTTTTACCTTTTTCTTTCTTTTTCTTTCCATGAAACTCATTAGTTTTTATTTTGTAAATGTTTGTTCCATTCTTTTTCTCTTTCTTTTTTATATCATAGTTTATTGATTTTAATCTCTAACCTCAGAAAGACTAGCCCCCAAACTTTTCAACTGATTTTACGGAAAAGGCCAAGATTATAAAACGGGGGAATAAATTTTCCACAACGTGGTAGAAAATTTCTCCGCGATAAATGCGAGACAAGGGAATAGCAGTAATGTTTTCCTTCTTTCTCTCTCTCTCCCCCAAAAACTTGTCCTTCTATATGGAACGAAAGAGAGCGAGAGCGAGAGAGAGAGAGAGAGAGAGAAACTCACATATTGCAAAGCAATTTCACCAAAGATATTAATTTCTTTTTAACGCGTTGTGTCGGCACTATTTTTACGCTCGTGTTTGATTTTACCGATCATACCCGTGTGTGCTATAAATGATCAACATATTTCATTTTCCTTGTAAATTTTTTTAAATAAAGAAAAAATGATTTATGCGAAATTTAATATAAAAGAATGTAATTAAATATTACCAAATCGAATGTTTATAATAATATTTTTTTGTTGGTAATAAAGTTAATAATATTAATATTAAATTGAAATAGAATTTTATAAGAGATGATAAAATTATGTCTCAAGATCAGAGTTTTTACGAGATAGTATGGTCAGTCACTTGGTTGACCTAGACGACATTCAACGTGTTTTAATAATAGCAGTTACGACGTTGAACTTTACGACTCGATTCGATCGTCGACTACACGATGTCTTCATTTCGAAACAAACACCAGCATACACATACACACACAAATGCAAACACACATATAATATACATGCAATCACATGTTTCTCATTTATTATACATATACATTCGATATCGTTCACATTAATCGTAATATAACAACGATGGCTCCGTAACTGTTGCAAATTCCTATTTTACATATTTAAGAAAGAAAAAAAAAAAACTAATTGCATTAGTTCAAAACGAAAATTGTCATTCATCTGTACATAATTTTTCCTTTTTTCTAATTCGTTCGAGCTAATGAAATTTGTTTTACAGGATTATCGTAATTGTAAAAATATATTGCTCATTAAGTATATACCATAAATAAATCCTCCATAGGACACGATTATTCTCAGGTTTGATCTATCTCGTCGAGAAAGAAAACAATTTTTTTGTTTGTTTTTATTTGAATTTCGTTTCTAGTAGCATCGGTGACCTAATCTACTTTTAATTCCATCTTTCTGCCTTGATAGTTAAGAGAAATTAACAAAAAAAAAAAAAAAGAAAATAAAAAACCATTCGCGAGAGAGCCTTCGAAAAGAGAGCAGCCCCTATTTGCAAACCCTCACCACGTTATCACGACCTTTACCATCACGACCCCCCCCCTACCCTCACCCCACCCTCACCCTCACCCCACTTCCTCCTTATAAAGACGGTTTAAGCTATAAAACGATCATTTGTAAAAATGATCCAATAATCCGATTGTTGCTGCTATCATCTCTTTCTATCTCTCTTTCTCCTCCCCCGAACTCTCTTCTCGCACGTGCGCCCATTCGTGGTGACGTGAATTTGGGGCTGACACGCACGCACGCACACGCTATTGGACTGGGTATAAGAAGGCTGCGGCGACTTTGGTTAAATCGAGGCGACTTCACGGCGCCGTGGTCACCTTCACCAGCTCAGAGTCCCACCTGGTAAGCCTCAGAATCCACCAAAAAGCTTTCGAATGAAACGAGTTAAATAAAAATAAATTAAAATTAAAAAAAAAAAAAAAAAAACATCAAATAATTTAAGATAAAAGAGCACGGAAAAACGTTGATAGAAAAAAAAAATGCAAATAAAAAAGTAAACGAAAGATGAAAAAAAAAAAAATTGAAATAAAGAGAAGATTTGAAAAGAAACGTATTGAGAAAGTAAAAAAATAAAAGAGCAGTAGCTCTAAATCGCTTATTGGCTCGGCCGTCTATCGTTCACCTGACACGCACCTCTGTCTCTATATATATTATATATATATAATTGGCTAAATCTCACGCGAAACCTAGCTTCTTAGCGAAGGAACGATCACCACTGCACCAACTTTTCTCTTCGAGCTCTACACGTGCCCCTACGATTCGAGTATCGTCTATTTCTATTTTCCTTACAACCTCTTTCCTTCTTTCTCACTCTTTATCTGCCTGTATATCTCTATCTTTTTCTCTCTCTCTCTCTCTCTCTTTCTTTCTCGATCCAAAGACATCTGGCACGAATAGGAAGAAAATCGGCGAAAATTCGCAGAAAAAATTTACCTAAAATTTGTCTACATTTTCAATGATTTTTTTTTATTGATATTGGAAAGATGTGTACGAATAATTCTCGTCTCTCATAGTATTTAATATAAAATAATAAATTTATTTCGCCGAAATTCTTTCTGGTATATACACCTGTGATTAGTTAGGAGGGCATTGACGAGTTTGTAAATATCTTTGTATATATACATATATACGTATATACATATACTACATATGTATATGTATATATAATATATATGTGTATATTTTTTATATATTTAGTTTCACGCGTGATTATCATGCTCACAGTTCTATATATATATATTATATATAAAAGTAAGCCTGAATATATATATAGGTATACCTACACCACTGATAACTGCACATGCACGCAAATGATCTTTGCTCCTCACTCATACACAATCACCGTTACATATCGCCATCTATCATTTCTTATATCTTTCTTATCATCGTCGTTAAATAGAAAACCTAAAAATAGACATTTTGTGTATATACGATCGAGTGATTTGATGCACAACTTGTTGTTTGCAAAACGTTCACTTCGACAATCGACAAGTTTCCTTGAACTTCTTTTCCCCTTTTTCTTTTTATACTTTCCTCTTCATTATCATCATCTTCTTCCTTCCTACTTCTCTGTTTTCTTCCATCCCTTGAATGTTATAACGGAGAAAATTATTGCTACCTTTGCAAGTAACGACTTCCTTGAAACGACTCGTAGCTCGTAAAGGAAATAACAGTAATTGATCCCCATTGAAATCTTTCTCTCTCTCTCTCTCTCTTTCTCTTTCACTTTCTCTCTTTTTCTCTCACTCTCTCTCTCTCTCTCTCTCTCTCTCTCTCTCTCTCTCTCTCTCTNCTCTCTCTCTCTCTCTCTCTCTCTCTCTCTCTCTCTCTCTCTCTTTCCTAGTTCATTCTTTCATCGAGTCATCACTATCTTCTATCTCTTCTTCTTTCACCCTATCTGCCTCGTGGAATGAACGATTGAGCGTCAGACGATTTGCCTTTAGCTCGAGCACCAAATTGCATGCGGCAAGTGGATTGGAACGAACGCACCCACCTGCATGTTGACGCAAAAATCTACGTTTAACTGTTCTTTCAGGATGAAATGGGCTGCGTTCGACTAAGAGGCCGTCGTTCAATCGTTCGTCGGCATTCGTACGACGAGACGATCGGGCTGGTCTTACTTCGGAAATAGGAATTCTCGTGCATATTTTCAAACGAAGGAGAAGTATATACAGGAGAAATATCTTAGCGACGTTTTATTCTAAACTAGGATTTATTTCAAAGAGTTTGATTTAAATAAATCTTATTTCGTCTTCAAGTTATTTTCGTCGACTCGATCGACGTACGAAACATCGATCGAGGAAGGAACTGGAATTTCATTTCGATTTGCAATCTATATTTAATTAGCACGAATTAGAACTAGACTAGATGATTATTTTTACGACAAACACACTTGTGGACAACAGTGTTTTAAAAATGATCCAATGATTAGCTGCTATTTTAGAGCAGCTTTTACTAAAATATTTTGTTACTCGTCTTTCTCTCTCTCTCTCTCTCTCTCTCTCTCTCTCTCTTTCTATCTACCCATCTATGTATCCATCTATCCATCTATCCACCTATCTACTTATCTATTTATCTATCTTTCTTTATTGTTGTTAATACTTTTCGGTTTCGTGCAAAGCACGTAAAAGAGGAATTATAAGAGGAAGAATAGGTACTCTCGGCAACACACTGTAACATAACACACACATTCACGGCAATAGGATCGTATATATTTAGGGTCTAAGTCAGAGCTTCGTTAACCCTTACCCTGGAGCGGATAAGGTACCTCGAAATTCTCGCATACGAGGCCAAAGCTGCAATAGAGTAAACGTAACCACTAGGACATCGATATCGTAACTCTTGCGCAGCTGCAACTCGGTGGGGCTCTGACTAAGAAAACAGTTGGAATAACTTTGAATATATATTTCTCGATTACTCTGTAGCGTTTGTAGAAACAGAGCTTTTACCATGCGACCAACGAAAAGCGTAGAATGTATTACCAGAAGTGTTAGCAATCCTATAAAACAGGCTAAATCAAGCTGTTTCCAAACTATTCAAGTTACCAATTTCCCATTTCCCATAAAAGAATTTTCTTCAACAAACGAATTATAAGAACAAAAGAAAATTCAATCGAGATTTCGTTAGGAAGATATACGACTACCTGAAACTCGTGATTTTTCTTCTCTTTATCGCTTCTTCTTCTCTAACGCTTTCGAGCTCAATGAATATTCATTTCGTATCTATTATAGTAAGAACTCCATTTTAATAGTTCTGACTTTGAACAGATTGAAAAAGAAGAAGAAAAATGCGTCTTCTTTCGTTGTTTCATTGCTTACTGATTTTAAACAATTAACTCGACAACTTTGATATAATTTCGTTTATACGTTTTAAACGGTCATGCAGTAATTATTGTAGTTACGATTAATCAAAACTATAACTGACTTCGACGTTATTCTTAATTTCTCTTTTTTGTGTTTGAAAACTTGGAAAATAAGAGCAATAAATTTGAACGATCGAGAGATAGCAAACATAGTAGAAATAGTATTTCTGAAAGTAAGTAGATATTACGTCGTATCTACGTAGTACGTATAGTGCCATTTAAATTAGGTCTAACTACGTATTCTTCAGAAGAGGTAAAATAATTAAAAGAAAAGTTTTGTAGTTAAAAGTTCGAACAAACGAGAAGAGGCCT